TGGATTAATGCTGTCAATGTATTTGATTATATACTGATAATACTTATACTTATAAAATTCAATAATGTTAGTTGGATCCGTGCTGAATTTTTGCTCAGAAATATGGGGTACACATAGAGCCACTGATATTGAAATGATACACTTAAAATTTTTGAGGTATATCCTAGGAGTACGTAAATCAACAAACTTATCAGCTTTTTGATGATGTAGTATCAATTAATATCATATTAACATCTTGGTGTAGTGTCAATATCATATTTAAGACATTTTGTGCAACCTGCTATTTCCTAAGTATTTTAAGACCTTTCAGGAAATAGTGTTTATATTATATTTTCATTCCATGTCAGATCTCATTTTCATGAATGTATATATATATTTTGTTTTGCTATAAACATTGTAATAATGTTTTATTTGCAATAAAGTTATTTGTATTTGTATTTGTATAAAATTCAATAATTTTACCTCGAAAAAATAATGCATTGTGTCACTGTTAAGCCTTATTTAAAACAGCGTCCCGAGAGCTATTTATAAAGTATCAGTGACGTTCGTTTCTTCAATTAGAAGATCATGGCGGACAGGTCGATTAGCGGTTTCGAGGGGTTTCCTTATTGTTTATGTATTTTACGGACGGAAAAATTCATTTTCCACCTGAATTAGTTTTATTTTACATCAGAAACGATTTACCTTAAAAAACATATCTAATCTTGGCGGAAAGCTGAAGGCCGCTTTAATGTCTATCATAATATGTCTATATAATATATTTGTCTTTTTATTTTCAGTTTTAAAATAATCAGATCATGATTCCTTTTAATTTTATAACTGGGGAAATGCTTTAATTATTACTGATAAGCCGCTGCATGTTTAGAAAGGGTGGGCGTTTTTGTCAGATGCATCAGATACCGATAAGATATACGTTTCATGTTTCTAGTTAAATCTTCCAGTATATTTCCAAGTAGATTGATAACTTAGCTTCACTGAAATACAATCGTTACATCTTTTCATTTACATCAAGAGGTTTAAGGAAGTAAAACTGATATTAAAAATACGTTTACCTGATACAACTGCAAATAAGATTTTATTGTTAACGTAATAAAATTGTAAGACTAACAATATAACGACAAGAAATAGTATATAGTGATAAATGACATACGCATTACTGATACGATCTTAAGGGTAAATGACAGGCAGTCAAAAATCTATTCTAATAACAATTTTCTCTTTTATAAGTCTAATACTGAAATATTCAGTTTAGTATTTTTATTTTGGTATTTTTTTCTTTTAGCTTGGACACAAAAGGTCAGAATGCATACGCTTTTATATATATAGCTTTCGACATTTTTAACAGAATGTGCCTTAATTTATTATGTTAAGGAACAAACATAAACTATAGCTGAAAGCAGGAATATCATTTATAACAAAAGTCCATTTCCTACTTGAATACAAACTTGATTAGTATGTGAAAAATATTGTCATTTTAATACGTGAACTTTAAACATGGAAAACCAGTGTAAGCCAAACTTAAGATATAGCTTTAAGTATAAGTTTCATGCTAAGCAAAATTTTGTATTTGTTTTATACTAAAAAGGTTATTGGCTGCAGCAGACGATTTATATACAAAGTATGTGAAGGGACATTTAACTTCATAAATTCATCAATACGACTTTGTTGAAAAGTTATAACTGTTCTCGTTGTACTTTATAAATTACTATTTATTATCATAGCGTTCCATTTTCAAGATAGGAAATATATACATAAATTATTTCCACAAGAATAATTTAAAGCTGCATGTCTCCAGATGAGTCAATATATTGCAATAAAATCAAACTTGAGAAATATGTACTATGATTTTAGGAAAAGTAAAATGATTCAAGATTTAAGTAATGTCTTACATGTTTTGTTCGGTTAATGACTGATTTACAACTATATTTCTATTGCGTTACTAACGCAGTAAGGCCTAATTATGCATATTTTGGCCACTTTTTTGGTAATAACCATGGCTTGTAAATACCGTTGATGATGTGTAAATGGCTTCCATTTGGTTAATTCACAATATAATACATTCAAATACATTTTCAAAATTCTCATTATCATTGTCATGGATCTGGAGGCGTGCTGCTTTAAGCAAACATACATGTATTATAGATAGTGTCTGCACTTAGATCTATAACGAACTATATATTATTGACTAGTTTTGTAACACAAACATAAACAATGAATACGACAAGACTGGGTAGGTTTTTAAATAGTTCATGTGTTTTCTAAATTTTAAAAAGATGATTTCTTAATATGTGCCTAGAACTAAATTATTATCAATACACAAAGCAACTAATTTTAATGAAGAGAAAACACGTGTCGATTTGAATAGTTCAAAACAGGAAAATTCAAACTATATGTTTAACAGCACGAAATACTTTTTCCCCAATCAAAACTGTCCTTCCTTGTATCCATTTTCAAATCCTATGACCATCAGCACATAAGTATGATATTGATAATAGTTCATTGAATGAAACTGATTTTCTACATACTAGAAACTAAACATTTCGCGTAGAGTTATTTAATCAAACTATTTATAATGTGTACAGTAAAAAGCACCAATATTGTAGATATATACGTAAAAGATATTTACATTTGTTTGCTTTTAGTTTTGCTATCAGTAAACATGTGGATCTTCTAACAATTCAAATATCTGATTTAATACATTTCATATTGCATTTTAAGTAACAAATACCTCACTAACGTTCTCCTTTCTATGAAAGATAATTCTTTTTTTACGACCACACATTATATTTTCTGCCCACCATGCACCTTATCATAAGGGCAAAACATCTCATTAATGTATGAAATACAAATGTTCTTACCCACGCATTTTGTCAGTTCAATCCGCCATTATCCCGTATCGTACCATTTTACATCGCTTTAAAAGTTCACAAACAGCTTCAATGACAAAATGTAAATATATCTACACAAGAATAATAGTATATTATTATAGTCTGCAATTAGACCTTCATTAAGCTATATATTATTGACTAATTTTGTAACACAAAAAAGGTGTTACACAATACAACTGGGTAAGTTTTTCGTGAGTTCATTTATTGTCAAATTTTCGTTTTTATGATTAAACTATGGTCCTTTTAAAAAAGTTTAAATTGTAAATCTAAGCCAGCACAATTCAAAATACCAGTATATCAGGCTAGCAAAAATATTTTATTATAATATTTATGTTGTTCCGTCTGAAATGTAAGATAACAATACATGTATTCGAGTGGTACTTATTTTCTGTATTTAATAAGGAGAAAATGCTGATACATTGATTCATACATTATTTTACATCATTAATTGCAGCAGGTGCATAACCCGGAAATTTTTACTGACGTTTAAAAAAACTGTTTAACATATAAACGTGCTTACGTAACTAGTCAATAACATCTACTTCATTAAGGAGTTATTCTTTAACAGTTTGATATATGTCAATTCTTTTATAACGATAAAACGAATATTATAATACATATACCATTTAATCTACGCATCTGAAAATTCATCTGAATATACGAACTAACATAATCATACGTTTTTAAGCGATAACATATTTCCCTTATTCTATGCACGGGTGCCACTTAAACTTACCTACGGAGAGTCGTATTGCTTAAATATGCAAGGTCATTCTTGTTTGTAACTAAACGAAACAAAACAAGCCAGTTTTCCACGCTTTACTGCTCTGCTCTGTTTTGTTATGCATAGGCATGCAATATTTGATCTTAGCGTCAAGTATTATTAATTTTGAAAATTTATAAGGTTCACTTTCTTCTATTGTAATAATTTGTACAATGGATTGATATGATTTAATGATGTCGATTTAGACTATAACAAAATATATTTTTGGTATACTGACAGATGTAAAGTTTTTGTCTGTAACATGGGAAATTTATTATAATGATGAGCATTTTATTTGTACAAGTTCTGAAAATGTCAATCTTAAAACATTGAATCTCTGGGGTTTTCCTTTTGAATACGCACTCATTCCAAAAGCAATATTCAGTCAGAAAGCTATGATAACATGAATATATTATTATAACACAGAGAACATGTGAAACACTTAGATTCAGCCAAGAGAAGCTATATTTTAATGTATATCTATGCAACTGATTTCGTCATGTAGGAAAAATACACCGTTTGTTCAAAATATTCTGCATGCTATTGGGAAGGTTTCAACGTGTATATCGACTTTGAAGTTATACATACTATACATTTTAGTTACTGAACTATTCATTTTTAAATATCATATTATTTTTAAATGTCACAATAGTTCGTTAGTAAATCTATGAGATCACTTAATGTTGCAAGCGCTGCGTTATGTGGAGTGTGAGAAGTGACGAAAAGTTAAAGATGGAAAGAAATATTAAATCAAAATTAAGAAAATTAGTGAATAATAAATATGATACTTTCTAAGTAGTTGGGGTTTTGCGAGTCAAAATATTTTCAACGTATACGGTAGTTCGTGTATAAGTGTAAAGTGTCGTTATGCTTGAGTGGGATAGAAAGTCAGATTAGTACATTTATTATGTTTATATTGAACAGCGGTTCTAGTAGTATGTTTAAAGGAAAGGGAGATATGTACTGAAAGATAGGTCAACACTGCCTTAATAAATGTCCTTACGATATAATTGTTGCGTTTTTATGCACTTGCCTATTGTTGCTTTAAAATTTAATGAGCTTTTTACGGGCTGTAGAGAAATAAAATAAGATGGTCTTTAGTCTGAGCTCTATGATCATTCTAAATATTAAGAATAAATGTAAATTTAGCTTATATTTATTATTTAGATTTATTTTATTTCGTAAAACACAACATTTATTTATGTTACAGGTGTCTTAAAAAAGTTAAAGTTATAAACGCTAAATATTTGTATTGATAGTAGAGTAATAGGAAATGTGATACGGTCGTGTTGGTTGAGTGCATAGAGATTATATTTATACAGCGGAATGCTATATTATGTTTCCAATTTTCAACTTTCTCTGTGGGAAACATCCGCATTATTGTAAACAAGTTTTATTTACGGATACAAATATCACAATTTATGTCGCTTGGATATATATATATTATATTAAAGTAATGCAAATTTTTGTGAATATATCTTAAGGTATGTTATATTTCATATTTTAGACCAAATAATAAACATGATTTTATATTGTTGCAATCAGTTTAATTTACGGGTATGATATATTCATAAAAAATGTTCGCGTCTGGTAATCTTCAAACAAACACAACAATAGTTTATTTGTTATTGATATTCAGAATTATTATTAAAAGAATGTATTAAATAAGATATTACTATTTTAATTATAGGATTATAGCAGTGTGATATTTGTGTTATTTACAGCTAATTATAAATATCACATGTTCAAATCTTCGGAAAAATCCCTTTTATTAAAATTATGTAACGGTAACATTTTGATTTTATTTCATTTTGCATTTCAATTGAACAAGTCTATGAAATGCAAGCACATATTAAAGTCTTAGATATCGCCTTATGTTGTCTTATTGACTGGAAATTAAAAATGATTTTACTATTGATACCTAAATATAATTTGCCCCTACCTTTGCCAGGACTTAGTTTTACTGAACTGATAAAAACCTCCTGAGTCTGTAAAAAACGTAGTTCTGTGACCTTTAGACTTTTTTCTGCAACCTTTTGTATGAAATTGATCTGCATTGGTAAACAGTTTGGTTATTAGGACTGATAGCTTCTTTGAGAAATCAATGGTAAGCGCAAGCTTAATTTAAGATAATCTATTATCTAGTTTTACTAGACGTATTATTGGCATCACTTCTATTGGTTTTACGAAGCGACTGGTACTTAAAGAAAAAATACCCAAAATAGATTGATATAATAGACAACTTCATGCTTAGTAATATGAGGTATAGTAGATAATTAAATATTGACATTCCCAGCTCCTTGTCTCTAACTGTAGTGGTATAAATTGAAATATATGTGAGCACCAGCTGGCAGTCCTTGATTACACACGGCAAGGATATCGTTCCATATAAATCTAATTATTGCTAGTATAAATAAATGCTTAAAGACTATAACAAAATTTAAAAGAAAAATCGTTTGACACAAACAATAAAATAAATATAACGAAATAAATAGAATATGATAAGTTTATTTTTGTATTTTATATTGAACAAATGTTTTACCTTTGCATTTGGAAATAAAACAAATGTTAACGGATGCATTTGCAGGTTAGTCATTAGGGTTGTTTTATGTATTAAATAGTAAGTAATTAATTAATGGTTAAAGATACAGGTGCTGCAAATGTACAGATACTATTTAATTATGTTATTGCAGGATGGAATGGCAGATCTTGGCGTTTGACTCTCATATGAACTGTGCTTATCTTGTTTTGAAAGCTTGGTCAGGTGAAGTCTAAACTAAAAACCAGCCAATTATATGGAAAGAAAAGATATAAATAAACGTTCAGATGAACTGCTTTGTTCATCGGACATTGAGAAAATTATAATTGTATTAACAGAAGTTTTGTTCAAACAAACAAACAAACAAATCTAATATCATATAGAGTAGATGATTTAAAGGAATCAGAACCATTTTTATGATGACTTTGTTTTGCAAAAAGTTTTTTTTTCTGTTTTTGTTATTTGTATGTCTGTCTGTTTTGTTTCTTTGTTTCTTTCTTTGTTTTATAAAAACTACTGCAAATGACACTTCATTTAAATAAAACAATTAAACATGGAGACCATTCGCCGCTTTTTAATGAAAAATCACGTATATGTCATATTGAGGGTTCAATTTTCGCCACCGTATTGCATTTCTGTGTAGTTGTTTTAATTCAAATTATTCCAACCATTGGCAAGTTAAGAAATGTTTCATTCGCTTAGGTAGGAAGGACATTCTTGCAGAACTTTGAGTAGCGGTCTTCGAAATCTGGCATGTGAAAGAGTTGACCATCATTTCACATAGTATGCATTAGAATGTTATTCAATAATTTATCACATTTTTTGTTTACCCTTTGTGTAAAATGAAGTCAAAGTTAAAGGGTGTTCTAGGCAGTTTAATCAGTATAGGAATATTTTCGGGTTGATACTGTATAACAAATGAACTGTTTGTTTTAAGATCATGTGCTTATAGACATAGGTTAAAGTCGCACTTGGGAAATTCAAAGTTTATCAATAATGGGAAGTATATACTTATCACTAATGCAACAATAAACAATATGCATATCAATTAACTCAGCTCGGCTTTATATTAAACGGTTTTCCCTAAATGTCATGAGATATGATATCATCAATGTGTTTGCCTGTTAATTTATTAAGCAAAGTCAACAGAAAATTGAATCCTGTAAAATAAGAGAATCAATGGTAAAACTTTCATATAATGTAATACAGGTATCTTATAAATACATGATTGTATATTGTGCTTTTGTATAAGACATTGAAACTGACAGATTGGTGTGTTGAATTAAATATTTGGACAAAAGTATTGATAGTTTGTTTAAATTTGAGAATAATTTTAAGGGTAATTGATTCATGAGATAAATTAGTTCTATATTGTTTGAGATGTGTAGAAGTCATCAACAGTATCACAAGATATTGATACTTGTAGATACACATGTTCATCTCACAAAAAAAATATTATTTAATTTTTTGCATAGCTTTCCATACAATTGAATCTTGAAACATGTTTGGTAACTAATTACTCTATAAAAAAACTTAAAATTTACGGTAGTCTCTCGTTTAATCAAAATGCTCTTTTACTATGTAGTAATGAAAGTGGCTACAGTACTCGTGTTATTTGAGGTTTAAGTATATTTGTATCATAGTTTGGGGACCTTTCTGTTAGAAATTTGTCAGAGATAAATCGTATACATATACATGTACAGTGCGTTAACAGTAGTACAGGTAGGTATAAGTTCCGCACATCAAGAGCATGCCATTGTTTGGGCACAGTTTTGCTGGGTTCTTGTATTGTGAGCGGCAGAGAAGGGAAAGCGAGACGAAAGTTCATATTCGAGATGCTCATTAATTGGTTACTTTTTTCTGGCGTTTCATATTGTGAAAACAGGGAACGTGTTTTTCTGTTTGACTATGATACAAAAGATAAAGAACATCAAAACGCTCGGCAATCAGATTTATACTCGGGGGCTACGTCCCACCTCGTACAAATCAGATAGTCTCGTGTTTCGATGCTCCTTCTATCGCAAATTAAGACAACGGTAATTTATTTTGTAGAGGCATTATTATAATTATTATTATTGTTATTGTTTTTGTTGTTGTTGTTGTTGTTGTACACATTATATATTTCTCTAATAGTCTCATAACGAAATATAAAAATTTATTGAAGATTTCTGCCTTATGTTTGGCTGTTGATTGTTGAATTTCATGCGTTCATTAAGGTTTGAATAGAACATGTCACACAAAGCAAACATAAGGAATGATAAAATGATGGTTTTGCATGCAATAAGAAAGTGAATTTGCTTTTCGTGAAAGCAAAAATGCTTATTTCAGAATTTTTAATATTTATTCAGCAGTCTAACATGCCGTGCGTTACAATCATGTCTTGTTTTGTACATGTATGAACTTTTTAGCATATGCTGAAAATTGATTTTATATGATGAAAATAGATTTAAAAGGAGCGTCATTTGCCTAGTGGTTAAGATCGTTAACCACTTGCCCCTTACCGCGGTGGATGAGAATTCCGACAAGGTCTTTAGATTCTTTCATGTGAGAAAGCTAGCCAGCTAGTTTACGAAATGTCGGTGGTTCTACAAAGGGTCTCGGCCGGTAAATACGCTAAAAACAACTTTCAAAGTCATCATATTACATATAAAAACAACAAGATGCGATAAATACACTTTAATTATGACCCATCAAACTAAAGATGACTTAAATTGGGCCGCTTCAAAATTCAAAATAACTACTTTCTAGAACGGGTTGGGTTTAATTCCGTATCGAGGTGAGACCTTAGGCGCACGTCCGTGCTTAGGGCGCACGAGGGATTCCTCAACAAGCTGGAAAGTCGCCAAATGATCTATAATGTGCTAGTGCGACGTAAAACGCTAACACCACCTCACCCCTCCCGTCGAGAAAATAGAAACAAACAAAATGAGAACAATCATAGAAACAAATTATAAGACACGTTTATGTTTGGTTGGTGCACCGTCAAATTTGTAAATGTATGCAAATGCTGTGTTTTGATGTATTTTACAGCTTTTATAGGGACTCAGATATATACCTTAAAAGTTCATTATTTACCCCCCCCCCTTTTTCGTTGTTGTTATTGTTGTTGTTGTTTGTTTTGTGAAATGTGATAGCGGTGTAAATGGTACGCAGTCTTGTCCCATAAGACAACAAGAAATGTTCTCTAGTCAGAGAGGCACTAAACAAGAACCGACGAACTAACTACGTAAATGATCAAATCCAAAAATTGTTGTTGATTTTACACTGTCACTACCATAAATTAAGCTAATTATATGTAACAATCATATGCATGTAACGATCATTTTGTTTCTAGTGAAGAGATGATTTCTAGACATCAAATGTATCACATAAATATATCCACTTCAACAGTTTTGACATTGGACTTATTACTCATAAATGTTATATATCTCATGAATGTGAGCAATAAGTAAAAATTAAGCATATACAAATTATGTTTTCATATTTTCAGGTTACAAGCAGTAAACGTAAGGTCGCAAAACAGATAGAAAGAGCTTTATCATGTAAAGAAAGAGAGAGAACATAAACATGTCACATGAACAGGATAAAACTGCAGCTGATAGGGAAGACAGTTTCCTTCAAATAACAATGCAGGTGAAAGAGTTAAACTTAAAAGTAAATCTGACTTATGGGGAGGATCAGATTCAAGATAATGAAATGGACGGCATGTTACAGTTAATGTTTATTTTCTGGGGAGTTATTATACCAATTATCGGAGTCATTGGTCTTGTAGGGAACATACTTACTGGAATCATTTTATTCCGACGAGAAATGCGATCTACGACGGTATATTTCTTGCGTACGTTAGTCATCACAGATACTGGAATTATAATTGGTGCAATAATGGGAGTTTCTGTGATCTCTATAACTCAACTCAATCAACATGAATGGTTGTTTAATCACGTCATTTACCCGCATATCTTCACTCCTACAAACTACTTTGTGATGGCTCTACAAACATTAAATGTTTGGGCAACTGTAGCAGTGTCAGTTGAACGTTACATAGCAATCTGTTTTCCATTTAAATCTATAAATATATGTAACAAACGTAACGCATATATCATTATTGGCGTAACAACTGTTTTTTCGACCGCTTATAACATTCCAAGATGTTTTGCCACGGGATATACTGTATGTGGAGATAATTGTTTTATGATTATAACAACAGATTTTGGTCAATCATATTTTTATACAATAATTTATAGTGGATGGCTGTATACAATTATTATATATGTAATACCCCTTCTTATTCTAGGAATCTTAAATGTTTTACTTATTCTTGAATTGATGCGCATGCGTCAAAGAAGATGTTTGACGAACACAAAAGAAAACACAGAATTTAATATGAGTATAGTACTTGTTATAATTGTAGTGGTGTTCATTATTTGTCAAACTCCTGGATTAGTGGCACAGTTCCATTTTCTAGATACAGTGTTCTTAATGAAATGGACATGTGTAAGTAACACATTATTTGTGTTAAATTCGTCTTTAAATTTTCTCATCTACACAGCTGTTGGGAAAAAATTTAGAACATTACTTTTAAAAATGGCTAAGAATTGTTTATGTAGAAATTTATACGTGGATGTTTCGAACACTGACAGAGAGCTGACTACTTTAACAACAATGAAGGACACATACGGCACGGGAGTAAAACTCGATGAATTATCCGCTCTTAACAAACCTGATACCTAACTTGATTTGTCCAATTTGTAAATGCATGTATTGTACTGTTATTTTCATTTGCAAATAAACAAATTTACACATATGTTTTGTTTTCTACAGAAAATTATTAAATTTTATATCCTCGCATGTAAATAAAAAGGACATTTTACTTTCCGTGAAAACGATGAGTGAATATTGTACTACAAAGCATTTAACAAAAGATTGACAATGGTAATTCTAATTAAATTTCAATTTGTATTTTAAATTTCCCCTGTCAACGGTTGCACTTCGAAAGCTATTTGTGATTGATATTTTATTATAGTTTTCAGGAGATATCTTTATTAAATGATACCAAACAATATTTTAAATGCCAGAATTTCTAGAAAAGTAATTGCAGTTAAAATAAATAAACAAATATCATTATAATGCGACGAAATCAAGTTTGTTGAGAACTGAGTACCGCTCAAGCCGGTGCGAGGGGGCGTGAGGGATGTTGCACGTATTCATTATCCCTTATGTACAGACTCAATCAAACCGAGTCTGCAATTCTCTTGTAATTTTGTTCTGATTAATACTGCCGAGGGATCACTTTGTTTCCAGATTTTTTTTTTCAACTTTTATTTTTTTACAGAAGCATCAATTGCGATGGTGTATATTGTGAGCATTTTGATTAAAATAATTTTAATTTAAAGATGGCCTTTAAATTAATTTTTAAAAAACGCCTTTTATAAGATGTTCTATTGCTGAAATACAAATTTGCTTTGTAACAGTTTCTTCTTACTTGAAATGTTGAATACGTATTTTACTATCCTACCTATTATCGGTTTCTTCATTTTGACGTTTATGAATAAGATTTGAATTACACAAAGCATTAATGCGGAAAATATGCAGATTCAATCCCAACTGGTGATGATTATTTTCACTATATTATCTTTATCTTCCTTGTTTAAGCATATTAAACTATTCATATTTTCCTGTATAGATATAGAGGATATTCAAGTTTTTTCTATAAATACATGATTTATTTTCATCGAGTGGTATGAAAATAAATATTTCATGAGTGGCGGTAGCCACGAATGAAATATGGTAATTTTCATGCCACAAGATGAAAATAAATCATGTATTTATAGAAAAAACTTGAATTTTCTGTTTATTATGTACATTTTTCTCTTTTTTGCGATAAAATTTGAAAAACTTTCCCTTAAATTTTGTGTACTGGTAGAATTTAAAAGAAAGTAGTCCGGCAAGACACCAGTGAAAATACGGAAAATATGTTTCACTGCAGTGAAAAATAAATTTTTACAGTGAAAATACGGAAAATGAAAATACGCATTTTATTTCATCAATATTTCTCAATATTTCATTTATAAGTATATAATAAATAACAGATATTTTAAAATTGAGTTTCCAATTCATTTCTATCACAGTACCTGAGGTTACTTGTAATTTATTAACTACCGATGTCGAAGCATCATGCTAAACCATGTAAATTGGTTAAGATATATAATTACAAACTGATAGACATACTGCAGGGTTAACAATCCGTTTATATCACAGTAAATTGATACATCATAGTTTTGGACATTCCCGGTACACAAAGTCTAAAAGCAGCCGCTGAACTTTTTGTGAACCTAATCAATTATCACAAATGTGTAGGAATTACGTTTTTATAATTTAAACTATTGGCATTTTTTATCATGTTCAGATAAATCTTTCAAGTGCAAGAAGTTTATATTAGATGTATGCAAGTATTTCTATATACAAATATTATAACATCCCAATTAAGAACAACCTTTAATGTCATTTATTAATTAAAAGACGACACTTCAGCATAAACATTCTAGAAATATGCACGTGCTTTTAATATCATTATCATCAATGGTAGGATACTACGTCATCGCGCACCTGCTGAATGCTCCCACTTGGGCCATTTTTTCGTCGACTCGAAGGTAATATACAATTTTATAATAATAAAACGTAAGAGTTTCAACAAATCATGTAGCGCACCAAAGAATGGCTATAGTACTTGAGATAATTGTAAAAAAAGTTTATAGATTCATTGCCTGGTTTAGGCCTGAAAACGGGAGAAGTGTTTTTCTCTGAATGCTTCCACTCGGACTTTTCCCGAAACATATATGAAATAAGGTTATAAACCTTCTTGAAAATTATTTTTAACTTACCGGAACATAAACCGAGTCATGTTTACCCGTTATTCTAGATAAGTTTCAAATATTTATATTCAGAAGTTAGATTTTCTTAATCCATTTTATAAAAATGGAAAATGCTCCCACTCGGACTCAACTTCAGAGATGCTCCCACTCGGACCTAAATATTTTACAAATTTTGAAAGCATATTGCTGTGTTAAGAGATTATTATTTTTCAAAATATCTTTATATTCAAGTTCATGTATTCATATAATCAATTAGAATTCAATGGAACAGCATTTTTAAAATACGATACTAATATTTAGATCACTAAAGTTGTGACATGTTTTTTTCATAACAGCCTCATAGATATGTTTTCTTAGAGGATCAGTTATCGGCCTAAAAATAAGAAAAAAAGGTTGTGTTGAAACAGTTTCTCGTTTAATAGAGTCGCTGAAATAAGAAACAAATTGATTATACATCTTAAAAATATAATAACGTTTTGTTTTGCAGAAAGTATTTGTGTTTGTGATCGGTATGGGAAAAGGTATAAGCGACAAATGCGACCTAAGGAAGCACATGGCAGGACATCTTGGCACGGCATAACTGGAGCAAATATTTTAGATACCAACTGTGGATATATCTCAGTGAGGAAGAATACTCTAGAAAACACAAGAATAATAGCTCTTTGAAATAATTGTCTTTTGTTCTGTTTTTGCGTTAATTTTTGGACAATGTGTCATAAAAGATCAATTTATCTGAATCTTCACTGGAGGATAGATTTAACGCAAACAAGAATGACAACTCTCCAGTTTTGGAGTAATTGCTCTTTGTTTTCACTATGATTAGTTTGCAAGGACCATACCTCTAAAGGTATTTGAGATATAAACTTGAACTTTCATATTGAACATGACATGTTTAATAGAAGTTAATAGCAGAGCATAAGGATCATAAGTGTTCACTTAATGCTACTTTGTTCTTGTTTTCTTTGTGTTTTTTTTTCTTGGGAGTCTTATTTTCGTCATGATTTATTATGTCTAGGCTATAACTTTTCATTAATTTTCACGAGTGTCATTACTTGGATTTTACATGTTTGTAAATGAAATGTATTACCTCCTTTTCTGTCGGGGGGGATTTTACTATCTGTGATTCCTTCTTGTATGATTGTTATTACTTTAACATCATTTTAAATATCCTGAAATCAATTTTCTATGATTTTATATCATGAATATAATGCTCAAATGAAGATTTATCAATATTGTATGTTCCAAAAAGCATTATTTGTAAAGATAATACGGAATTTACATTTCATAAAGGGAGGTAATTAGAAATATATTTTCTATTAAGTGTAAGTTGAATTCTTCAACAAGAAATGAATGCTATTATGTATATTTTAATGATTACATATAATGTGGACAAGCATTTGCAGTACGTATTTTACATATTCCTTAATGTTTGAAAATTGTTTTAGTAGCATGATTATATACATATTTGTAAAATTTCAATTGGTAACAACCTGAAATATAACTTATAGGGTCTTTAATTACCAAGATATGGTAAAGACTGTGATAAAGGAATAACTGTAATCTTTGTTTTCTTATTTATTTATTTTGTTACTTTAGGTAAAAATACGTACAAATGATAACTTTCATACTTAAAATTGTCAAAGTTGTCAATAATTGTGATGCATGCTTTATGTGCCAAGGTATTGCAGTACGTACATTGACTTTTTAACCAGTTCATGAAAAATATGATTTACATGTTGTTCTTAAATAAACTATTCAAATCAACCGATAGATATTGACTTCTTTATGTTCATTAACGTACGATTGTTGTACCATATTGTTTTAAAATCTAAATCACAAGTTTAGCAAACACGCAAATCATTGGGTTTTAAATTATTAACAAGATATAAAAATCAGCAATTATTGAATAAATACAGTCCACTTATATGTGTCCGAGTCCAACAGAATCTTAATCCAGTATGGTACTAAACAATGTATAATGACTTCTTTATAAAACGCCACCATTTTTTAACATCTAAACAAAACTTTATTCTTGAGATTCAAACTGTCCATTTTAAGTCTTATAGTCCTAGCTTCGTTGTTGGAAATAATTTTGAATCATCTCTTCGGATCCAACATAAGCCAAGTGCACCTTTTTGTAAACTGATCCTGTCAGTTGAAACTTTCCCATGGCACCTTGTTCCTGTCCAACGACGACATTCTTCAGAATCAGAGAAGTGATCTTGGTAAAAAGAGGAAAAAGTAAATGTCACAGTAGTTATGGACAAAATGGTGTAAAAATTGTTAGAATAATCCATAAAAGCTTAACACAGTAATGTGCTTTCAAAATATATATATTTGGGTCCGAGTGGGAGCATCTCTGAAATCGAGTCCGAGTGGGAGCATTTTCCATTTTTATAAAAACAACTTTAAAAAACTGACTTTTGAATAGAAATATTTGAAACTAATCTCTAAAAATGTGTAAACATGGCTCGGTTTATATTCCGGTACGTTAAAAAATATTTCAAGAAGGTTTACAACCTTATTTCATATATGTTTCGGGAAAAGTTCGAGTGGGAGCATTCAGAGAAAAACACTTATCCCGTTTTCAGGCCTTAACCAGGCAATGAATCTATAAACTTTTTTTACAATTATCTCAAGTACTATAGCCATTCTTTGGTGCGCTACATGATTTTTTGAAACTCTTACGTTTTCTTATAATAAAATTGTATTTTACCTTCGAGTCGACGAAAATATGGTCCAAGTGGGAGCATTCAGCAGGTGCGCGATGACGTAGTATCCTACCATTGATCATATGCCTTGATATATACAAATAAGAAAAAAATAAGTTCTATTCTGTGCTAAAAAGGGATTAATTATCATAATGAAAGTAAATATACTTTTAAATTATTTGTCAATTCAAATACAGTTTTGTGCAAGGTAACACAATATG